GAACAACCAGGCAGCTCAAAGGTTCAAATATAAACTGTGAAAGTAAAACAAGACAAAGAGAAGCTTTCAATAGACGAGAGCACATTTGTCTCATCTTCACAATCAGATGTGAACAAGGTGACGTCATCTGTTCTGAACCTCAACGAGAACGAAGTCATTAAACCGTAAAGAGAACCAGAGTAAGAGATGAGTATTCAAGTTTTCTGACAAGTTTGTTTCACTTGTTGAGAATAAAAACTGATTCTCCAGGTTGAGTTTGATCCGATCTGATCAAACAGTCAGATTTTATTCAGGAAATACTCCAACCTGAAGTCTCACCTTCTTAAATGTCACATTTGATCACTAATGAATCCGTTAAAGATAAACTTTACTCCCGACACGTCTCTGACCAGGTTCAGGAAACAGTTTGAGACACAAGTGAAGTAATCAAACCAGTAAAACACACAAAAAGACAATAACATGACAAATAATGATTATGTTTAATAATAATAATTAATTACCATTATAGTGTAAAGTCTTGGCCAATTTGTCTCTTTGTGGTTTTGTCTCTTTGTGGTTTTGTCTCTTTGTGGTTCAATCATAGAAACAACAGTCTGAAGTTTAGTGTGATGAACTTGTTCAGACAGGATCTTTACTTTCTGTCACATAAATCTTTATCCTGTCAAACACCATGAGGAAGACAGCGTTGTCTCGTCCTGTCCTTGGACTCAATGTGTCCATCAGTTCTTAGTCAACTTGTCCCTCAGGACGTTTCATCTTAGTTTACTAACAAACAGAGGCAGCAAGTGTCAGTCGACCGTCTTCACGTCTGTCCTCACATCTGTCCTCATGTCTGTCCTCATGTTCCATTGATGACCTGCTCTGTCACTCGTCTAGCAGCTGATCTCAGATCAGAGAACTTTTTACTTCATGGCAGACGAGGACGGACAGGAAAACAGTGGGCCCCTGGGGACAGACATGCACAGACCCCCGGACTGAGAGACACTGTGGTCGTCTCTCTTCCATTTTACATGTTGTTCTTTTCTGTCTCTTTGT